ACAGCACGGACACGCGCGCCAGCTCCGCGACGTGCGGCGGCGCGTCGCACAGGCGCTGCGTCCCACCCGCGACGGTGCGCACACGGGCGTAGGCAGCGGCGATTGCGAGGCAGCGGCGCAGAGAGCCGACGGACGCGGCGGCAGAGTGAATGCGCGTTATGTTGAGCACCGCGGCGATGTGCTGCACGCCGGAGCCGGGTGCGCCGAGAAGGTGGGCCTGCGCACCCTCGATTGCCAGCTCAGCGGTGGGCAGGGCGTGCGTGCCAATTTTGTTCTTGAGGCGGTGCACGAAGATGTAGTTGCTGTTGGATGGCGGCCGGGGAGCGGCCGGGGATCGGAGAAGGGGGAGGCGCAGTGGGACGAGGAAGAGCGAGAGTGCGCGTGAGCCTGCGGACGGCGGTCCTGTCCGCGCCAACGCGAGTGCTATGTCGCTGTCTGTAGCACTTGAGAACCATTTGAAGCCATCGAGAGTATATTTAGGTCCGAAGGGGCTCGGGGCGGTGCTGTCTGGAGCAGGTGTCGCTACTGTCTCGGTGAGGGAGACGTCGGAGCCTCCGGGACGCTGTGACGGTGGAGGTGATTTAGTGTGTAAGAATGATGCTACTAGATGTTCACACTTCGGTCATCCACTGCCCTGCGGTGAACGCGGTGGACGGATCGCGACTAAGAGAAACGGGACTCAATTTGATTTGGAGAGAGTGACGAGGAGGTGGAGTGACCTAATTAGACGGGGGAGGATGTCTCGCTTCGCCTCGGGAGTTCCAAGGAGCTCGAGCACTTGGACAAGACATCAAAAATCTGACATTTATCCAACATGGGATTGGTCGGGGAGCTTACCACGGGCAGCCCCATCAGTCATACTCATCGGACAGTCGATCTGATGCAGCGCAGCGTATATTGCAACGGGGATGCCTCACTTGAGATAAATAATATGCGCACCAGCTGAGAGTCGCCGATGGCCATCAGGATCTTTGCAAAGCCGTGAATACGGCTGTGTTCCTTGTGTTGCCGCTCGTAAAAGATCCCAATGATGCCCTCTCGCTGAAACAGGGCCTTGATTCCGCGCCACCCCTCAGACGTCTGCAGTTCGTCAACACGCCGGCCCCACTGGTCATATTGCACCAGACGAGGTGGATAGGTGACTTTACCTAGCTCCCGCATGGCTGTACCACACATCGTGTTCACAACATGAGCGCGGCTCACACGCTCGTATCGAGACGCACCTGGTATTCCTTCGCTTCCAAAGTGGTCCAGATCTTTCTCGACATTTTGCAGGACTTCGAGAGGCAACAAACGCTTCAAAAGGTTCGGCAGCACCGGGTCAGTTCGATACGGATGCCCCTCAGTGAAAGGTACCTGCGTCGGCGGCGGAAGATAAATATCGGCGAACAATGAAGAGAAAGATATAAAGATGACTTGCCGGTTGAAAACCTCTTTCAATGCGCATTTTAAAAATGTATACGGCAGGGTTGTATATAAGTAAGACCGTCCTACTCGAAGTTATGCTATTGGGATGCTCAAGCTGCTGCAGGACCGTGAGGACGACCTCTCGCGGAATTTGAATAATCTTAGTCCCGATCGCGATATTGCGATCGTTTCAACACCAGTTTCCAAAAATGATTAGAAATAGTGTATTGCAATATGAAAACCCTGCAACTGATCTGGCAAACTACGTGTTCGTGGCTACTCTGGCCCGCGAGATAAAGTAACTCGCGCAGCGAATAAATACGGCAGAGCTAGCCGCCGTGCAAATAAATGGCAATCGACATGAACAAAGGTGAAAAATTAATGGTAGAAAACAAGAGCTTCAAGAATCCCAAATGGCCCCAAAAGCCGGAATACCACGGCTCATCATCCCATACACGACCTTCTCCGTAATCGCCTGGTTGGAGATGATGACCACAGCCTCCGCATTGAACTCGCGCACCATTCGGTAGGTAAGCTTCACCAAGTCGGGCCGGCCATGCACTCGGGTGTCTATGAAATATGGATCGCCATCAGTGAAGTCATGATGCGTGTTCTGTTGTGTTCCTCGACGTACCGTAGATGGCAGATTGTGGCGCAGCTTCGAGCAACGAGTCCACCAATTTGTCACCGAACGTCTGGCGGACAGCCGGCGCCGTCCACAGCAGCTGGATCTCTGTGCGCTTCGCAAATACCACAGGCGCGATTGGTCCGATCCCACTCCCGGTGGCCACCATCACCACCCGACGGAACAGCGGTGTGACGCGCACGACGCCGAAGCAGGGGATGCCGCGGACCCAGATCTTGTCTGGTGGGTTGCCGATCTGACTCTTCGTCCAGTCGCCCGCCCTGGACACGACAGCAGAGTAGCCCTTCTTTCCGGGCTCGGAGATGGTAGCGAACGAATGCCACTCAAAGAGCGGATCCACCGACAGCCGTGTAAAGTGTCCAGGTTCGGTGTCAACTGTGCAGGGCCATTGTCAACCAATGCCAGGGAGAACAATCCACCCAACTCACCGTAATCAAAGTGCAGTCTGACACAGTGGTCTGAGAGTACCTCGGCACGCACGGGAACCTTGCGCAGCCGCAGCCATGGCAGTATGATGGAGGCCGTCAAGATTACAACCAGCCAAAATGACGCGGAATGCTTGATGGCGTGGTGCAGAGTCTCACCAGGAACGCGGTAATTGTTGATGAGCAAGATAACCTGTGGGAGATGTTTGTCGGTAAATGCTCAGCATGTCTTGGCAGTTTCTACATACCTGCGCCCACACTAAAGCAACTGCCGTCCAGCCGGCGAAGCGGTGAATCATCTCGAATGCATCATGATGCTTCACGCGGAATTCGGGATATGCAAAAACTACCATAGCGAGAAGGAGGACGAGGACAATGTATGAGATGGCCAGCGTTGGTGCAGTGATCTGTGCATGAAGTCTCAAAATGAGATGTCTACCATGCTGGGGAGGATGGCTTACATTCTCCTTGTCAATGAACTCTCTGGTTGCTTTGCCGACAAACAAAATCAGCCAGACTGTACCGCTGACTGCTGCTCCGGAGTGGACTGTGGGGCAGTGTCACCACGAATATACTCTATATCAGCAACAAGACACTCACTGCCACCGATAGAATAAACTCTAGCCAGAATACGACGTATCCACAGCGGCCAACTAAAATAATTCAATCTCATCAGTCTGACAGCCACAAATCAGGAGTGACTCACGTATTGGGAGCAAGACAGGCGACAGTGAAGAATGCATTGATCACATAATCTTGCCGCATGAGAATCGCAGTGAAGAGATTCGCGATGACAACCGTTCCAAGTTGATTCGCATTCGTGCCTTTGACGCAGTACCAGATGAACACCCCCATGTTTATCACGAAGATGATACCAAATAGCCTGCGATACAGTGACATGATCTGGAAACGCAAGTTCCGCACAATCCGGCCCTGCTTCTTGTCGGGGAGTGGGTCGTTCTCGAAACCCGCCCATATTTCGCCCTTCTCCTCTACGGAGGGTTTATCATCAGGTGTAGTGTCCGGGGCGTTGGAAATGATGAGGGACCGTCTAAGATCGACGAGCTTGGGCTTATCCAAGTGCACGGGCTCTAGGGGGGTAAGTTTCTCTACGCTCGAGGAAGAATCCGAAGTAGTGACCGGAGCCGGCTTCAGTCTCTCCACCTGGGAGATCGAAAGAGGACGACCAGGCATAGCTGGCAGCGAATCGAAGAAATTAGAAGAGTAAGGGGCGAATTCCAGGATTCGATGAAGAATCAGTACCGGACGTGGTCCTCTTTTATATAGAGAGCATTGTGCAGACTCCGAATGGCATAGTTGCGATCCCGACCGCTGGAGCGGTCTGTCGGTCTACAGGTGGCAATGATCAAGGTGACAGATACAGGTTCGAGACAGTGAGAAGAATCTGTCCAAGGTGCAAACCCTAAAATCCCCCAAACCAGAATTCGTGATATCGCTCGACTCCGACACGCCATTGCGACGCAATAGAGACTTGTGGCTCTTACCTCTATTTCTTTTGCAAATGCGACTGATGGTATCAGGGAGACTGCCTTACAGATTCACGAACCAATATAACACTGAAATGACCTACATATCGATGATCACTGAGCTAATCTTTGGATGAGAGACCAAATTCCATAAACGTACTCCAGGTTATCAGTTGCGCATCTACAAGCCTTCAGGCGACCAACACAGCCAGTAGGTAGACGTGCATCCTGACTAGGGCAATCCGGATACCAAGACGGGCCAAGAAATTGCAACATTCCGACCATCGCTAGCGTGCAGCTGAATGCACTGGTAACGTCGAATGCAGACGCCTTGGCAAGCGTATAGAGGGAAGTTAGACGAAAAATGTGCTAAAATCCTGACCACCCATAGCGCTGAGCGCCGATGGCACCCCGACAGACGTCAATCGGTCTCACCGACGTCCGGATCAATGTGTGCGGAATAGCGCAGAGTCCGAACACCCTGAAGGACGTTGATGGCTATGGTTACTTACAGCCTACAGATGCAGAACGAGACCAATCGATTTGAGGCTATTTGGAGGAGTTCTCTGCCGCAGTCGGACCGCTCGATGATGGCAAGCCTGCACAGTGCGCCACAGCCGCCCACAACACAACCGCTTCGGGCGGGTTTTAAGGAAAATCTTTGCACAAGTTGTTAGTACCACTATCACGATGCTCGGGTTGGCTGGCGCGACTACGTGTTGCGGCTTCTACCACTTGGCTCATATTCATAATTCAAGACTGACAATCTAGAGCGAGAGGCGATAAAGGGGAAGTATGAACACCGCACGCAAACGGGCGCGGAGGGTCGAATTATGTCCGACCGACACCGCAACATTGCTTCGGAGATAATTAATGTCCGTCGCACTAAGTCGTAGAATCAATGACAGGCGTCGAGTACATACCCACTTTGTCTAGCCGAAAAGCAGCAGAAAGACCACCGCAAAAATCTCCTAGCATTGCGTCGTAAGCCTCAGTAGCTGATCATTATCCTGTCGCAGCCACGGCGCTTTCAACGGTATACGTAGATGGTAGCTGGAATCCGATATGTGATTTGAGTGGAATAGTATCGGCCGGCGAGAATAGTGACAGGTTAATCCACACATTCTGATGCTGGGCAAGGTATCATCGCGATATCCACAGCATCAAGCTAATGTATCGGTTACGCAGGCATCATGTTCAGCGTCTCCAGAAGTCCGAATCGTATCGAGAACAAGTCAGAAGGAGTGCAACCAGCATCTGCCAGTGGAATCAATGCTGGAGTGCGAACTTGCTTGAAGGTGACGGCGGCCAGGTACGAGCTAACCATGGGCGCTTAGTCTCGAGATCCTCATGGACCACGTGATCGTGTCGCGCGCTTAGACGCGTGTGGTCCACCGTCCGAGTGACTCCGAGTACTGGCAGGACGATAACCAGGTCGCAGACATGGCAGCTTGTTTGCGCTTTACTCGACGTGTCAGTTTGCTTATAAGTGAAGGATTCAATGGCTTGAACTTTTTAATCTAGGTCTGGAAGTCGTTTGTAGACAACAAGGGTGTGTCCGAGTTGGTGCAGCGTCACTGCCAATACTATTCTGACGTGAACGGTGAATAGGCCATGATCAAGTATGCTTCCCGAACGTGAGCAATATGTTACAAGTATTCACGAAGTGAAGCTAAAGACCTACTGCATGTATTAGCTTAGAATCTTAGACGCAAAACCCGGCTCTGTTCAAGCGTCCCTGAAGATTGAGCCCTATAATCGTATGCGGACACATTTTGATGAAGTGACGAGGATGCTCATCCCTCGTTTGAAATGACGAACTGTCTAGTCAACAGAGTCGGGGTAAATCTGGAAACTCCATCGTATTCTGTTTGCCGCTAAATGTACCGTAACCTAGACTGTGCATGGGGGCCTTATCATGTCTCTCACTGACACTCTAGGGTCCCTTGCGGTGGCCTCCAAGGGGCAGTACATGACCGGCGTATCAGTTGATATCGGCACCTCCTTCGTCAAGCCGGCCGGTCGTACGGGTGATGAGCTGCGGGTCAGCGCCGTTGTGACGGGCATAGGTTTGTAGCTGACTCGATCGTCTATGTGTTTCCATGTGTATATGATATGGCTCTCAGGGAAATCGCTTGCATACACCCGTGTTGAGTTCTTCAATGCGTCTGGCCAGCTCGCGGCGTATGGACGTGGGTCTTGTCCTGTCCAGCCAAGCTTTTTCAGGCTGATTTTTCCACCCTTCATCAATAGATCATACAAAATACATCGGCAAATCTGCAGGCCATGAGGTACGTTCTCTTGGATCTTCTGTGGTCAAATAAGCCAATATTATGTTACTGCAGAACGATGTTAAGTTTTCCGAAGATGGAGAGACGCTCATCGAAGGCGAGGACGTTGACTAGAAGCTCTCTTCGCGCTCGTCATTATATCGTCACTCGTCGTTTTTGAGGGGTGGAACTATCTAGAGACTAGAATCGTGCTGTACGGGCATGCGGAACAGAGTACGTTCCTGCAAAAATGAAATTCAATCACACGCAAGCCCATGTTCTGAATCGAACGAGCCCTTAGGTTCCTATCGGTCGACCCACTTTGTTCCAAGTGCTTCAACACGGAGCTTTGAAGCTCGTACTACCTTCCATCGGTAGCAGGGGGATTCGAGAGCTAGTCTTGAGTAAAAGTTGCCGTACGGTTTACTGCTGTAGCAAGGGGCATCTTACACAAAGATTGGGGTCCTCACTTAAGTACATAGTGAATGCATACTCCATCCACGTCCAGTCTTCTCTGATGCTGATAGTGCCATATATTCCACTCCGAAGATTAAGTGCATAACATTCTACAGAAAACGTTCCACAACGTACGTCTACAACTTCATCGATGTGCGGTATTTCCCTGAGACTTGTAGTACGTGAGCGTCGTCTGATACGACATCCTATTAGCAGAGGACTCCATCCGGGTGCACTGAATGAAGTACGAGTGATACCATCCAAAAGCGGGCCATGCAGTATACTACCATGTTGTGCACTGCATTGGTGCATATGCTCATTTCTTACCCCAGACGTCTGTTAAATATCTCCGAATAATCGTTTCCTGGGTGCAAGGGATGAGAAGAAGATCTCCTAGGCCTAAATTTTGCTTACAGTGCATCGGGAGCCTCACTCATGATAGTAGGCCCTCCGGCCATCTCCCTAGCCCATACATCTCGCACGAACCAACCAATATGGCCAACAGCGCACCCTAAAAGATCCCCGGCTGCCGCTCGCCATGTGCCATTCAGCAGCCAAGCAAGACCAACAAGCGCTAGAGGGAGGTAAGATGCTGAGATCGTGATGAGGCCAAAGAGCGAGATTGGCGTTGACGGGTGGCGGCGTGACCATAGGTATATGGGCACAAATGCAAGAGGTGACGACAAGAAGGGGAGGTTTACAAGTGGAGAGAGAGCCTATAAAGTACGCGATCAATACCGAAAGAAATCCGGGAAAAGAGCGCGCACCAGGAGCATCAGGGAGGACAGGAATAGCAGCCAAAAGTAGTCAGCTTTCTTGTTGGCAAACGATGACTCTTCTAGCATCCGACTATATCTCATGCTATCCATTGATGAGTAACCTGGGTGAACAAACAGCTGTAGAATAACTCACAAGAAGAACATGTGGAATATAAAGTCTAGGGATATGGTCCCAAAGTAGAAGAACGTCGTGACCATCCGCCAAGGCTGTAGGAAGAATGAGTCCAATGGTTTATTGAGTATCGACAGGCACGTTGTGAAGCATACCTGTGAGTTGGTGAATGCTGTTGAAAAACTAAAGTACAGCTGTAGCGGCGTCACGAGCTGGCATTGCTGGTAGAGACAGGCATATGCAGTGAAGATGTAGTGGCTCAAGAAGGATGGTGTAACGTACTCACGACAGCTAAGCTCGTAAACACTGAGAGGGCGAGCCATGCTCGGGTGACAGGCGGTATTTGAGTAACCCAAGCCTCAATACCGACGGGCATTCTGAGTCTTCAAGCTTCAAGGACGGCGGAATAATGTGGAAGGGAGCCGGAATATTGCACCTCAAGCGCCTGTAACGTGTACAGTTGATGTCACTGAGCTTAGCCTTGAGTTTGAGCGCGTGGTGTCGTGACCCGGAGCTCCTTCCTCAGGCTTTATTACTATGATTGACTTGCTATGAGCTCAAATTTCAACGTCTTTATCTATAGATTGTGTCTCCTGTGCTTCTCCTCAAGACCTGAAAATACACCCTGGATCCCGCAGAATTTCCACATCGTAAGTACACGGGTCCGGGCAGAACAGTGACAGTGCTATGTGAGAATTTGATGAATGCATTTGCGCAAGCAGCCATGAGTTATGCCTAGTATTGTTCTGTTGTGACAGTTAAGCACACACAACCTAGTCCATTACATTCCTCAATCTACACTCCAGTCCTTACAGTACATTTGCTGCGTTACTCAAGCCACCTCTGCTATCGAGTTCTCAAGTCGAAACGCGGTCCTACTCCAACTACGAAGATGCTGGAAGTCCACTGATGATCCCTGTCTACGCAATCTGTCTAGGCCTTTCGTAGCCGAACGTACGGCTCTCTTCTCTTCTTTCTCTGCTATTTTTGTTCCTCTCCCCATGGATTCCAGACCCCTCTTCGCGATAATAATCAAAAGTACGACACTCGTCATTCCGGAAGACATCATTTGTGGAAAGAAACCAATGGAGTCTACCGTGCACAGGGTCAGTGCCTATGGAGGCTTTCTAGAAGACTGTTTGAAAACGTACCAAGCAAGACACCTGTGGCACGTCAGTATACGCCTGAGATGTTGGCGATCACTGACACTCACCATCGAAGCCTGGAGCGTCCGGCATCGCATTCCTCAGCTGTGGAATAACCAAAAGGACTGTGATAACAAAGAACAGGTACTGCAAGACTCTCTTCTCGTCTGTGGTCACCCAAGCCAGTACGATGAAACCCATTGTAGCATGTGTCAGCATCCAGCTTATGGCGAACAGCAACAACGTGAAAAATTTGGCTTCGCCTGGTCGCGTGATGTCTATCGTAATATCTCGACCGGGTTCATTCACATTGGTCGAGGTATTCATGTAGCTTGCTACATCACTAGGCGAGATGACAAAACTTGAGGTCAGCTTGAGGGTGGTTAAAGCACTCATGGTAATGGGCTCTTGGCTGTCGCTTGACATGATTCGCAATGTGCTGGTGAGTTGGTATGTGTCGAACGGGTACAGGCGAGCCTCGTGAACATCGAGGACATGGTCGCTATCAAATTGACATAAATTTTGGATTCTGCGGAGGCATCAGAAATGGGGACGGCGTTCACCTAAAAGTGCATACTAACCCGATTCGCTGGCCAGTCTTATTGACAATAGGAAACAAACCAGGGTCATAGGTAAAAGCAGCGGCGTCTCCACTATTCAATCGTAAGATCCACATGTGCAACTGTACGAAGAAGCGACTCACCTATCTACATAGACGTTCAGAGGTATGGATGGAAGACCACACGCAGTGCTCCCGTGTGTCCCCTCTGAACCAGCCAAGACGAAAGCCGACCCGCACCCGATAACGGTCCAACGAATCGTGACGGAGGGCTCATCGACATCTACGTCGACGTTGTCGCCCAATAGCACGATCTGTGACGTACGATCAGCTTCAGCTAGTATACGTCTGTTGCTTGATGTAGACTCACACCAGGATTGTTTACCGCGATACCATCTAGAAGCCCCTTGAAAGGTGGCTCGTCTGCATCCGATCCCACGAACGCACATGCAATCGACGATATGAATAGCAAGGAAAGCACAACTGCTATGCCGACTAGAAATGCCGGACCTAATGGTGTGATTCCTCCCCTCGTCACTATCGCTGAGCTTTTTGGCTTCCTAGGGTGGGTCTGTTTTCCTGGCCTCGTGCTGCCAGGTCTAGCATGTGTTGCGGGACTTATTGTCGATGCATTCGAGGATGCTCTGATAAGCCCCGTTGTCGAGAGAAAAGAGTGACGATCTGACATAGCAACGACGGTGCCGCCCACGTTCAAAAGAATGGCGGGGAGTGGGTGAGAGGGGGATAGTGAGTGCCCCCCAGTCTTTCTACATGATACCCAACAAGAATACAGGGAAGCGAAGGCTGTAGCTTCCCTCGCTGAGTCAAATCAGGCGTCGTAGGAGCAGCTCCGCTGAGAATTACCACACGACACTGCCAAATTGCGAATTGCGCCGCTCGTCTGTCGGGTTCAGGACTCTGACTCTCGCTTGTGGTATAAATCCGACTGCGCCCGGATAAGTGCCCAGGGCTTGCGCGAGGTCCTCAGGTAAGTACGTTGCGGCGTGGATAAACTCAGCGACGAACGTATTGCGGATTACCCTGGTCAATCATGTTTTCCCAGAAAGTAGCGAGGCCTCCATTGTACCCATGGTCTAAACGTAAATTCTTCGCCGCTCAAAATCCGATTCGAAGCCTTGGCCTTGCCAAGAACTTCTCCACCTCGCCGCCGGATTTGCTTGTCCTAAGTACTGTGTTCTGTGAGCGTAATTTGAGAAGTGATGCACAAGGCTACTGTATGTACTGGTGATACAATTATTCTGGGATTTATGACATACGTCGGTGAAGTAGCTACTAGATCGTATAGAATATCCTACTTAGAAGAATTTCTATATATGTCAGCTTACACACACAACCTACTATCAGAATGGATATATGTTCCATGGAAATATGCGTGATGATCAGCGCACCACATTTTACGGAGGTAGACGCCTTAATTGCTTAGAAGCTTTTCAAGCATGCGTATCTCTTCAAGAGGTCCACCTGCATCACCTTCTGGGCCCCAAACACTAAGCACGCAAGAGGCAAAGCTCAGAAATAACCGTGCAGCATCTTCAACGGTATTCTCCCGTGCGGTATCAGAATTTGTTACGGCTGCATTCCAAGTCGTCTTCGCCAATTCAAGAGCATGCATTCCTAGACCAATCCATATCGGATTAGCGAGCCGCATCGAAAACATGATATCGCACCAAAGACAACGCACCTATCTGAGGGTAGTTCGATGGATAAAGAAGAGCGTATAGTGCCAACAGTGTCCGCCCCACAGATAATGCTTGTTCGTACTCTCCCTCATGCGAAGCCTTACTGAAGACTTCCGATATACTGGGTAAATATGTTTCGTGAAGGAATACTACGAGGGTTTCAGGTAGTCTGCGAAAGAAATCGCGTTCCATAGGTAGTTTCGCCGCTCTGTCCGCGTCGCCCAGCGATAACGCACAAAGCTGTGATTCGAGTATAGCCAACTCTGCCGATCCCCGCGCGGGTGGTGGTGCCGGATCGAGATGCCCGGCCCAGGAACATAATGGACATGTGCATGTGAAGCCATAATTGAGCCGCAAGGCTTCTTGACGGGTATGGAGAGGTAATGCAGGATCCAAGTAAGGGATCGTGATCTATAGCATGAACTAGAAGCAAGGATAGATGATAACGAATGACAACATACCTCTTCGCCTTCCGCAATGTCACGCAAGGCAACAACTTCCATTTGCACAGACTCAAAAGGTGAAATGATATATTTGGCAACCGCGTTAGGTACGCAAGAATGATTGAAGAGCCTGCTGGCTAGAGGGTATATACCATGCCCGAAGGTATTCAAATGGGAATGGATGATGAAATTGTTGTTCCCGAACCGCGTATAAGCTTCTCGAGCCAAGTCATCCGTGACGCCGAGGAATTGGTCCTTTGGATTGAAAACTACTGGCAACTGGGGATCCGACAGGGACCCTTTCATAAGATCAAAAAATGTACCAAATCGACCGTCGCCAGGGTTCCAATGAGAAGAATCGCCACCGTACTGAGCAGCTTCTGCGAGAAGATGTGAGAGAAGGATCGCATCCACCTGGTCATGAGGCGATAAGGCTTGATACGCGGACGAAGCGGTATATGCAGGAAACGATTTGCAGACTTTTTTGTGATGCGCTTTCCACTGTTTTGTTTGACCTACCAGCAGCCAAATAGCACATGTAATATTCTTTCCAATAAATGGAGTATGATTGTACACACATTGTGTCCCACAATACCAATACGAGACGCAGCCTGTGCATTTCCGGAGTTGGACGTTTTCAGAGGCCAATCTATGACAAGTATCGCATCGGCGGCTCTTTTCCGACTGCAACAACGCGGTGGCAAGCGGCAGGGCGCGGAGAACCAGGGAACCAGGTTTAACTGTTATAGTAGCGACAGCCTTGTTTCTGGCAACCGGATGGGATTCAAGGTGAACTATGCTGAAGTCTGCAGCTGCCATGCAGGCCAGACTTTGTTAGCTACTAGGAATGAACTCAGATGGGGGCACGGATTTGCGGGAGGTAAACTGACGAGCCTGCCGCCTGTCTTGCCGCGCGCTAGTAGATTATCTAACTGATTGGAATTTGTTTGCAATCAGCTCATCTAAGCAATTCTTTACAACCATCGCAAATGTGAACATTCTAGTGAGATCTATATGTATGGTACATATAATGAATAATATCTAGTGAGTTTTATGTGAAGTACATGTAAGGCATTGCGACGTCGAGCCGCGTAAGGAGCGAAGAAATGAAGACATTCAAACTTCAGGAATCCCAGATTGCGCCGAACGCAGGTATGCCCCGGCTCATCATCCCGTACACGACCTTCTCCGTCAGGGGCTGATTTGAGATTATCACTACCGCCTCCGCATTGAACTCTCGCACCATGCGGTATGTAAGTTTGACGAGATCAGGTCGGCCATGCTCACGAGTATCTATTTGAAAAGCGTCCTCTTAGCCATTTGCCAGGGACAGGAACGAGGAATATAAGCACGAACCATAAATAACCGAACCAGGCGCCGCCTCCAAAAGGGAATCCACGAGTTTGTTGCCGAACGTCTTGCGAGCCGATGGTGCCGTCCATAGCAGCTGGATCTCAGTGCGCTTCGCGAAGACAACAGGCGCGATGGGGCCGATGCCACTGCCAGTAGCCACCATCACCACTCGGCGGAAAAGCGGGGTGACCCGCACAACACCGTAGCAGGGGATGCCCCGAATCCACAGCTTGTCTGGGGGGTTTCCAATCTGCTTTTTGGTCCAGTCGCCAGCTCTAGAAACGACAGCCGAGTAGCCCTTGGTTCCCGGTTCAGCGATCGTAGCAAACGAGTGCCATTCAAATAGAGGATCGAGTGACATGCGTGTGAAGTGTCCAGGTTGGGTGTCCACTATGGCAGATCCACCGCATTAGAGACGACTGACACAAGACGCACAAGAAGGACATTACTTACCGTAGTCGAAGTACAGGCGCACACAGTGATCCGATAGGATCTCAGCCCGCACAGGTACTTTCCGGAGCCGAAGCCAAGGCAGGACGATGGAACATGTAAAGATCACCACAAGCCAAAATGGAGCGGATGTGACCAAAGCGTGTCCCAACGATTCGTCATCTTGTTTATAGTCATTCGTCAACAGCACAAACTAGAATCCATTAAGCTCATGTCACAACTTGTCAGAGAACTTAACCGAACAACGTACCTGTGCCCACACGACAGCGACAGCAGTCCAGCCCGCAAAACGGTGAATCATTTCAAATGCGTCATGATGAGCCACACGGAACTTGGGATGTGCGAAACCAACCATGACAAGCAAAAGCGCAAGGATAACATAAGACAGAACTAACGTCGGAATGGTGGTCTAAAGAGTGACATTAGTGAATTAAATGATAGATATACAGGAATAAACTCACTCGCTGCTTATCGATGACTTCCCTTGTGGCTCGTCCAACAAACAACATAAGCCATACAGTGCCGCTCACACCAGCGCCAGAGTGAACTGAGGCAATCAAATGAGTATAATGCAAATAGAAACAGAACAAGACTCACTGCCACCAATAGAATATACTCGTGCAAGTATGCGACGAATCCACAGTGGCCAACTGGATAGCACGTTAGATATGGTTGATCATGTTGAAAAACGAAGACACACCTCTGGGGGGCAAGACAAGCGACTGCGAAGAAGGCGTTGATCACGTATTCTTGGCGCATGAGAATCGCAACAAAGAGATTCGCGACCACAACTGTACCCAGATCCTTAGCATTGGCGTCCGTGACGCAATACCAGATAAAGCAGGCCATATTGGCGACGAAGACGATGCCGAACAGCCTGCGATACAGAGACATGATTTGGAAGCGGAGGTTGCGAATCAGCTTTCCTTGTTGTTTTTCCGGTAGAACGTCGTTTTCGAATCCTTCCCAGATTTCGCCTTTCTCTTCGTGATCGCGTTTTTCATCTAGTGTGGTGTTGGAGGACGAATAGCTGGGGACATCGTGGACATTAACCGCGACCGGATCCTTGGCAATATCCGATCTATGCTGGACTCGATATGCCGCTAGCGGACGAACAAGATCCAATTGCGCCTCGCTAATGGACCGCCGACCAACGCCCATAGGGTCCTCAGACCCAGAGATACCCATCTCCGGTGCCTTCCCGCTACCTCCGGTAGGTGCAGCGCTATCCAGTGGAACGCTGTGTGTTGTCATGTCTGCGAGACAAGCTGGGAGACAAGCTGGTGAGACAATGAGTGAAGTGTAAGAAAGACGAAACGAACCTTGTGTAATGTAATGAAGAAGTTGAATCAGACAAGGGGACGCAGGATGACCAGCTTGAGGTGGTCCACAGATCTGGAAGTCTTTATATACGAAGCAAGCAGTAACTGGCGTGAAGTCCCACATGTGATTGCCGCACAGAGAAGCTGGTAGTGAAAGGAGCGTCAAGAGGCGTTACAGTGTTTTCCTGCAAAAGTGTGACATAGAGTCGAACCAACTTCTATCCATATGGAGATTACAGGATCTGTCGCCGGAGGTTCCGCGAGGAATAGATCTTATCGTCAAGCTATTTTCCGGCTCCTGCAGTGCGGAGGTGATTGTATACCAGCGCGGGATGCTCGCTAGACGTAAGGTGCACGTTGAGGAAGACACGGTCCAGAAGCTAGGCACCTTGCTACGACAGTATGTCAAGCGACAATAGCAGATTGGCAGAAATCTGCCCAAGTCCACGAAGTCCATCAGGCAATAGCCCAGGAAGTTGTGGGCGTGAGTATACAACATTCTAAACACAACGTCAGCTTAGAAGTCCTATGCTGGAGACAGACAAACTTCACACACGGGCCAGCGCTGAAGCAGAAGAACTGCACTGATAGAACTTATCGAGATCTCGCCAACTGTTGCGGTACCGAGCTTGTGTACAGGGGCTCGATGGCCCGGCCCACCCGTCAACATACTGCGGTAGCTATGTGATACGCCCGCCTGGAATCCTGCTGCCCTCGTCGAAGCTGCCGCCGCATGGTGCAAACATTTACAGCTCGAGTTTCCTCCTGGAGGAGAAAAGACTCCGACGGCCAGCCATACGGTGAGCAATTCCGATAGAAGTTCTCCATTTGTTTCATCCCCATTTCGCAATGCGGCGCAATGTGCACATGGATGAGCCTCAGTGCGCTTCGGTACCACCGTACTCCTGCCGAATTCGGATTTCTGCTGATATCAGTACATTCTGAACTCCATTCTCCGGGAAAAACACACCTCATGTGAAAACAGCTCACGGAAATATGGTCCCGCGCGTACATTCTAAGCTCAAAGAACCAACGATAGGATAGCGTCGTAGTGTTGTCAACAATGTCATTGTCCAGTAAGTTGGTGTGCAAGACGTCGGCTCCGCCGTGAGAAAAAATGATGTTCGCTGTGATGTGCTGTCGGGGGTAACTTAGCTTGAGTTATCTTATCTGATAAGTAAGTAACCGAAATTAAGTGTTTCTCGAGATGTAGTAGTCGGGCTGCTCGACGAGTCAATTTCAGTTTAGTTCTCGACGTCGCCTCTACATCGCCCTGTACTGTCAGTTTATCCCTCCGGCTCTACTGTCACTCCCTACCTGAGATCCGCCTACTACCCTGTCGTTTTCCACGGGTCTGCACTTCTACTGCTTCCGACGTGTACTATGTCCGACACTGTCAGTGCTACGCGATTCAACGACATAACGGAAAGCACGCCGCTTGCGTCTTTCAGCATCTGTGGCTGCTCCGCCGACTGTCAAGTATGGATTTTAACAGAGTCATGGAACCCTCCATGCAGAATCCATGTGCGGAGGTCGTTTGAATCGCATCATAGTATGTTCTGGCTACTTTGTTCATATCTTCTGCCTCTACGAATTAAGTCGCCATCACAGACAGGCAAGCGCTCTCCTTTTTGTTGAACCATCGGCTGTCTAAAGTTGTCACAAGTTTAGGGTGCTTGAGTCGGTTCAATCTTCGCGTGGAACATGATGATCCATACGAGGCAAAGACCTAAGCTTGAAGGGACAACTCTCGCCTCGTCCAGAAGGAACTGGTGCATTCACGCCCTCGGCGAGGCCTGGTGAAGACTACATATTTTCCGAATTCGCCCCTCACTCACTACTGCGCTTAGCACCCCGCTTCAACCAGCCCCGACCATAACACGTTCTGTTGGCGAAATCATTACGTAGACCCCATTTCAGGTGGCCTATTGTGACTTCAACAGCCGTCTACAAATGGAGTTATGTACCTCCGATTTGATACAGGTGAGAAGAATACCAGAGTTACTGACGTAGGACTTGGTCACACCCCGAAATCATTCGGAAATCCTTGGCCCCCATGCACGGTCCGCTGGCAGCGGCGTCGCCGCTTTGGATTCAAACATCATTGAATCCCACAGATATTCCGAATGTGACACAGCCATAGGACATTCGCCCCAAAGTGAGTCCTAATATGCGTATATCTCCATTAGGTCCAAAACACAGGTAACATGGACACCTGAGTGCCACGATGCGTGATTTGCGCGTAATGCTCGCGGTGAAGTACATCCAAGAACGGTCTCCGGGAGGCTTGTGTTGTTAACCATCTCTTGCCTTAGAAGCTCGCCGGATCTGCTGGTACTCGGTCTTGGTTCTGAATGGTCTGTGTGCATGCCTATGTTTATGTTTTGAGGGTTTCGTAACAGCCCGGAATGACAGGTCGTTGTATCTGCTACCCCAATTAATTCTAGGATACGGTATTTTAAACCGGAAAGGATTCGGATGGGGGCAGAACAAACGGTAATGAAGGGCGCCATGCCTGCTGTTGGCGCCGTACAGGAATATGATGTAGAACATCTATGGATCGGTAAAACACACATACGGGACTTTGCAAATTCCCTCACTCCAACTATTTACATAACAGATGGGCCAGGTTGGAAATTTGTTAGGAATCGGGGCAAACCCGAGTCGGTGGCATCACGTGTGTCTCAAATCGCGCTTTCTACTCGCGACTCTGACGGCTCGATTTCTTCTCTCCGCCTCCACAATCTCCGTGACTCGTGAAGTCTCACTGAGGCCACGCAAAGTATCCAACTCTAGGATAGTACTTCTGAGGTTGATAATGTCTGCATTAGAAGAAATGCATCCAGTTGTATGTCGAGAGCTGCGTATGTTGTGCAAACCATCCGCGTCGCAGCAACGAATAGAACAATGTTCTATGGATCTGTGCTTTGTAGCTCTTGCTATACGGTACGGAGATCTTACCTTTTCAGAATGATCTCTGACCAAGGGGTTTGCCCCACTGTATGGTGAACGTGAACAGGACAGGATACTTATTTGATGCCCTTTCTTCACAGAAGTTGAAACGTCCTCCTGTGAATACGTTCGACGCATTGCTTGTCAGATTAGAGCAGGTAAGTCCCCCCGATAATGATCATGTATATGTTCTTCTAGTGGTTATGTATGTGTCAAGTGTTGCGCGTGTAGGACGCCGCTGAATCCACTCACTGCTATTTGCAACTACTTGATTTGATATACTGAATAGACTACGCAGCTCTTCCCGAGTTTCAACTCCGTGATCCTAGTGCAGGAGGCGATCTCCGAGCAATTCTTTTTTGTTAACCTGGACGATTTGAAAAAGCGATGCGGATTATCCGATTGCAGTGTGCGCGAAGATCTCAATGATCGTCATCAGTGGCCACTCTTCATCCAGCTTCGTGAAACTCCCACACTGGTCGGTACCGCTCGCATCTCCATCATGGCGCTTCTGACATCCCGTACCCCCACTGGCACTAGTTATGGCCCCCTCCAAAACGCCTATCACAAGTCCTCTCCGAATTACTTCGCTACGGAGAGGAGGGAGCATCAGCGCACCGTGGCGCTGCGATCTTGTCGTTAGACAGCACAGATGCGGTGCCGCTCGCAGCATTCCTGCTCGACTACCCGGTTGCCTATGTACCGGCTTCAGCGGACCAGACCTCCTTCCTGGCAGATGTCTCGCTTGATGTTTACGAATGCGTTTTCCGTCCGGGAGTCGTCGAGGCTCAGCGGCTCAGCTTGACAAACGGGGAACATATCGTCATGAAATTTTCGTGTCCGTCCGCGATTTACAGTGCGGAAGAGGTCGGGGAGCTCTCCGCTCCGAAACTCACGCAGCGACTCAGTGACAAGTTCGGCAATCGACTGAGGGAGGCAGGTCTTCCCGATAGTTTTCTCATACGGCATACGACACAGGTGCATGACAGAGTTTCGCTCTGAACAACGATTACATGTAGCGCAATCGTCAGATTACAGTAGTGACAATGCAAGTATGTAAACACAAGCGTATTAATATCGTGCGGATATCCATTTATTCTACATCAATGTTGATGATTTTAATGTCATCATACGGCTTATCCAGCTTATTCGTCTTGACATTCTCTATCGCATGAACAACTTCCAGCCCGGACAAAACTCGGCCGAAGATGGTGTGTTTCTTGTCCAGCCAAGGGGTTGCAGTCGTAGTAATGAAGAATTGCGATCCATTCGTACCTGGCCCAGCATTAGCCATGCTGACCGTATACGGCCTGGATGGTGCTAGTCAGAAACGTGTACATTTCACGCCGCTGCCGACTCACCTATCGTGTTTCAAGTCGTCCGAAAACTCGTCCTCAAATTCCCTACCCCAAATCGACATCCCCCCAGTTCCGTCGCCCAGCGGGTCGCCTGTCTGGATCATGAACTTCGGGATTACTCGGTGAAAAATGATCCCCTCGAAATAGCCGCTCCGCGCGTGGCCCACGAAGTTCTCCACGGCTTTCGGTGCTTGCTGAGGGAAGAGCCTCATATGCATGTCACCCAAGGTCGTATGAATAGTTGCGGCATTCGCCAGCGGAGATGGACCGCCCATACCCAGCGCCGGAGTGGATGACGCAATTGTCTGCTCCTCGCGGGTAGGCCGCTCGTTAAAAATATCACGATCCCCGGACTTATCATCCCTGTCAAGCCAAAGATGGTGTCAATACCCCCGTCAGGTAGAGTATTAATATCCACGCACTCTGGTTCGGAGCGGGTGAACAAGTAGAATCGCTGACGCTTGTAACCAGTGGAGACAAGTGTTGGATCTCTGACAGCTTTCTCCGCTAGTAAAGGATTAGAGGAAGCGGCAGCGGCCTACGCGGAGAAAATGTCAGGCTCCAGTGCGAACATCTGAAAAGTCATGACAAAGAAGGCGTACCGCAGTCGTCAAGCCCCTCCTTGCGGGAGCTCCCTGGTACAGGGTCAGGTTCATCCACCGTACAGTCTCGTCCTTTCCCAGTAGTCTAACAACTCGATTCGTGACAGTGTTGACAACTAATATTCACATTTACGTTAGCTACAGCTATCCAAGTAACATGTTTTACTGGTGCGACCCACCTTTTATTCCCAATAGAGTGGGATAGATCACGAATGCACCGCTCTCGTCCCAGATTGCATTGCACCATCGGCCAGGTACACTTCCATCAGGACCTGGAAGTTCAAGCTCTCGCTCTGCCGCCAAACGCCGACCAAATTCCATATCCTCAACCTTGTATATCGCAGTGCCGGCTTGTTGCATCTCCTGGATCGCTGATAACGACTCATCATATTTACGTGTTAGCTTGCCGGTCAAGAAGGAGAAGATGCGGATCTGGCGGTCAGGAAGCGAGAAGGTGACGAAAGAGGAAGAATCTGGCGAAAGTGTGACGCATGTTGGTGTGGATTTTGACTGTGAAGAAATGAGCAAGCGATCACCGGGAAAATGAAAAGAAAGGACCTTTTTGAACTCGTAGAGATCAGTAGTACTTTTGAATGTCCATAGGCGAGCCACATCTTTTGGCACCTCGAATGGCTCAGACGGTCGCCAATATTCGAGGAATCCACCTTCATCTGCGGATACGACTGTATCATATCTATCGCTATACTAAGTAAACGATGAGTGAACGTTTCGGACATCACCAGGTATACACACCGTCATTATATGTACTGGGAACCGGTGCAATTTATCAATTGTCTCCAGCGGCTTTCCGTCACCTCGGCCGTCATAGAGGCGAATCGTACCGGTGTCTCGTTCTGAGCTACAACATCATTAACCCAGCCAAATTTCTCTCCTTGAACTTTGTACTTACACTGCCAATATCCCACGCGCCTGCCCCCGTTTATGAACCCAACAACATGCATGGGGTGTGAATCCCAACTTTATCATGTTGATCATATCTAACAACACGTGAGAGGGAGGAACTTCTTATTCGCAGGGATGCACGTACCGAAGTTTATGACATCAAAGACTTTGGCGGTGCCGTCCTCTGCAACACTTGCGAACAGCTGACCATCTGCACTTGCAGACACACTTGTAACTGGTGCAAGGTGGGCACGGTAATGTTTCACAAACTCAATGCCTTGTTCTTGCTTTTTCCATAACTTCAAATGGCCGTCGACGGAGGTAGTGATGAGGAAGTCGGTTCTAAGTTGGATAGGCTGAGTATAGCGCGTCCGTGCACGACGGGTAAAGCTGTCGAGACACACCTAGTCATGACGCAGAAATTGATGATATCCCTATGCATAAAACTCTTGTAATATCGATCTGCACCAGGCAAATGGTCGAGATATAGCTTCTCGTGCGGGAGCACTGCAGAGAGCAGGCCGATAAGCAGCCGTGCTCATTTCTCCGTGAATTTGGAGCATACCTTTGCGTTTCTTCTTCGCTGCACCGTTCCCGTTGGCCTCTGCGGGCAGGGGCATTGGGCCAACATCATCATCGTCTTCATCATCATCCTCGTGAACCTGACCAGCCATCGCGACTTCTCTGTCCTCGGTCTTCATTGGTTCATCCTCTGCGACATCTTGCCCATTGCGCGACCTTTTCCCGAGGACAGATGAGTCTTGCTCATTTTCTGACATTGGCTGTATATGTGGTCTGGTGGCAAGAGGTGTCGAGAGAATACAGAGAGAGCAAGCTCTAGAATGAGCGGGCCCTTGGGTGGATCACGGACAAACTAGGTGGCGATCAATACGGTCACTGAGTGGCCCGGTTTGGGAGCTCGAATCTCCCGGCGCTAACTATATCGTAGGACTCCCTTGCACTCCGGTTGAGACTCAAAGCTGCCAGCTTCCAACTTCGCATATGTCCAGAAGAAACAGTCCTACATATGACAGAGAGAAAAAAGCAAAAGCTACATGAGTATACAATCGTCCTTCTCTTCCCCTTCCGCTAAGATCGCTCTCTCTTCCTCGGTCAAGACGAAACCCTTTCTGGCACGCTCCTCAATAGCTCGTCGTCTGCTTTGGCGCTCTGCCTTAGCACGACTAGCAGTCGTAAGTATGTGATACAATTAAAGAATTAGATTGAGCATATGATGCGTATTAGGCCGAGGCGAACAATGGCGGGGGGACGAATGGCAGGCGATTTGGTTTACAAGTAGCCGGGGGTGAGGATGGTGGCGGAGTCATGGATGAAGATTGGGGCGAGTCATCAATCCGCGTGTTATTGATAGGCGGAGAAAATGGCGAAAGGCTGAGGCTCCGTGAGTGGTCACTGAAGACGAGGTAGAGAATGAGACTTACCGGTCGGTCTGTGAGAAAGGATTTGAACGGACGGACAATGTCGGCGTTTTGGCAGATACAGATAACTGAGCACCGCTAGACGTCCTAGACACTGTAGGTCGCGCTGCAATCGTGCTCGTATTCGCCACAGCTCTCTGGATAGCTGCCACGGCCACCGACGTAGCGGCAGGCGT